GTGTAGGGATGGGCCCAGAGAGTGGGGGGAAAGGGGAGATGGAGGTGCCTTGTCCCCTGCTGTCACCTTGCACAAGCAGCCCTGACCCCTTCTGGCGGTGTGTCACCCCACCCTGGGGACAGGGTGGCAGGAGGGACGGCCCCAGCAGCTAGCTCATCCTGGATGGTCCCCTGCATCCCTGCCCCGGCAGAGGGGCTGCGGTGATTTGTGCAATGTGCCCTGCCGTGCTGTGCCGTGCCATGCCACGCTGTGCCATGCCATGCCACGCTGTGCCACGCTGTGCCGTGTCATGCCACGCCGTGCCGTGCTGGCTGGAGGAGGTGGAGTGCCTGATCCCAGGTGACTCCTCGCTGGCCAGCATGTATGACCCCGCTCATGGCCTGATGCCACCAGGCAGGTCTCTGGGGAGGACACGGCCACGGGGACCACACCTGTGTCCCCTACATGGACGGGAATAACACGCCGAGGGGCTGCGGGTGGGCGGGCTGTGCCAGCATGGCTGGCAGCCAGCCGGTGTGGGAAAGCCCCAGTTCCTCTCCGTCGAGTGGGAACCGACCCGGATTCTGCCCCGGGCTATTTGGGTAGAGCCCCCTCGAGATGGGAGCAAGCGCCCCGGGCTGCAGCGAGACATCCCAGAGGACGAGGGGAGAGCCTGTCCCATCCCTCCCAGTTCCCTGCCATGGGGACAGGATCCGTCCCTGGGCTGGGAGGGTTGGGGGCAGGCAGGTTTGCTGAGCCCCCCCGGCAGGTTTCGGTGCGTTTCCTTCCCCTGCTGACGCGCTGTTTCGCTTCCGTCTGCCGGGCGCTGGGCCAAGCAGTCCCTGTCCCCATCGCTGTCCCCCGTCCCCGTCCCGACAGGCAGGACCCATCCCGTGCAGCCCCATGGAGAGGTAGGAGGGGGCCCTCCACCGCTGCCCCAAGCCTTGGCGTGGGTAAGGTTAGCTTCGGGAGCGGGAGGGAAAACACCCACAGCTCCGGCTCGTGTGGGGCTGAGCGCTGCCGAACTCATCACCGTGATGGTTGTGTGCTTTGGGGACTGGGAAGGGGGATGACACCGCCGGTGGGGGCTGCTGCCCAGGCTGCCGAGCTGGGGCAGCTGGATGTGGATGTGAGCCGACAGCGGGATTCGGGATGTGGCCAGGAGCGGGCAGCAGAGGTGAGCGGTTCTCTGTGGGTTGCCGGAACGGGGTGAGGGCAGGAGCGCACTGGGGCACCGTGCAGGGCTGCTCTGCTCTGCTTTCTTGCTTATCCTCCATCCCAGTGCATGCCCCATTCCTTCCATCCACCCATCCCTCCCTCCCTCCCTCATTCCAGCCATCCCTCCATCCCTCCCTCCATCCCTCCCTTTCCCCC